AGTGCTGGGGTTTCCCCGGACTAAAGTTTGGCCGGCGGCCACTGTGGACTTTCCCATCGCTATATCCCACGTCCGGTAGCAGGTAAGCGGGCCAGCAGCACAGTGTTATACTGTTGCGAGGTCAATATTGTGTCTGCATTTTATTCACCGGAAGTTTGAGTGAGTTTTATTTCTCCCGGCGCTTGTACTCCATCCGTCTGTGTCTGTGTGGGTGAGTGTGCGTGTGACGGATGAGCGCAGGCTAGGAACACGCTCCTTAGATGAAATGTTAAATGACGACGGCTTGATATTTAGCTGGAGTGGTATTGATAGAAGCTTATGTTTTGATTGCTGTGTGGTGTCTTTTTATTGATGTTATTTATGCATTTATATTTATGAGATTTACTGTGTGGTGTATTACAACTCTGGGTTGATGTGTAATGATGATGTGTTGCACAATAACAATTGATACCCTCTTGTTAAATGCCTAGTGGTGGTCATTTTTGTTGCCTTAACCAATCATGTCTATGCAGTCTGCTAATAATCTTTACAAAATGAATATTGTGAACATTTTAAAATGCTGCTACCCTTCTGTGGATTTTTTAATATCTGAGATTATTGTATGAAAATAAAGTGAAACTAGTATTTAAGTGAATTGAGTGTTTGAGTGTTTTGCTTGATTATTGTGGCCCAAAATAAATACTTTATTTTGTCCAGTAAAGAACTTGTTTTGTGTTTGAATACTTCCCTTGTTGGGATGGTTGCACTAGCATATCTGAAGGACATCACTGGAACCCCCACAGTTTGCCTATAGAGCAAATTGGTCTGTGGATGATGCAGTCAACATCAGTATTAAACCCTACAACATCTGGACAAACCAGGGAACTACACAAGGATTCTGTTTGTGGACTTCAGTTCTGTCTTTAACACCATTGTCCCATCACTGCTCGAGTACAAACTGACCCAGCTCTCTGTTTCTAGCTCTGTCTGTCAATGGATCAACAGCTTTCTGACAGATGGACCAAAGCTAGTCAAAATGGGCAAAATCCCATCCGACAGCTGCACCATCAGCACTAGTGCCCCCCAGGGATGTGTTGTCTCCCCACTGCTCTTCTCCCTGTACAACAACGACTGCACCACAAAAGATCCCTCCATCAAGCTCCTTAAGCTTTCAGATGACACTACTGTTATCGGCCTCATCCAGAATAGCGACAAGTCTGCATACAAACAGGAGGTGGAGCAGCTGGCTTTATGTTGCAGATACAACAACCTGGAGCTGAACACACTCAAAACAGTGAAGATGATTGTGGACTTTAGGAGAAACCCCCCTGTACTTCCCCCACTCACCATCATGAATAGCACTGTGGTTGCAATAGAGTCATTCAGATTCCTGGGCACCACCATCTTTCAGGATCTGAAGTGAGACATTCACATAGACGCTATTGTAAAGAGAGCCCAGCAGAGACTGTGCTTCAATAGTCAGCTGAGGAAGCCTGCCACAGGAGCTGCTTGTACATTTCTACTCAGCTGTCATCCAATCCATCCTCTGCACTTCAATCACCGTCTGGTTCGGATCAGCTGCCAAAGCCGACCTCCGCAGACTACAGTGAATAGTCCAGACTGCTGAACGAATGACTGGCACTATGCTTCCTACACTGCAAGAACTGTACTCTTCCAGAGTGAGTAAAAGGGCTCGCAAAATCACTATGGATGCCTGGCACCTAGCACACTTCCTGTTCGAACTAGTATTGTCTGGTCTGCTCTACAGAGCACCAGGCACAAAAACAGCCAGACACAGGAAAAGTTTCTTTCCTCAGGCCATCTACCTCATGAACAGTTAAATATTCTCCAACTGTGCAATAAATGTGCAATACTTTCTCATACGCACTCAGACATCCCAAGTCTCCCGAAAGTTGCAGGAGTATCCTGATGAAATAAATGCAGCCTTGATTAGCAGACTAAACTTATTTTAAAACATTTAAAAATTGCACTGCCCCCAAACCTTTGACTGGTTGTGTGTGTGTGTGTAGTGTGTGTGAGAGAGAGAGAGAGAGAGAGAGAGAGAGAGAGAGAGAGAGAGAGAGAGAGAGAGAGAGAGACAGAGAGGTAGGTTTTGAGAGGTAGTTTTCTTTTTTTTATTCCAAAGATCATTACAAGGCATTCAAACATACAGTCATTCAAGTAAAGACAACTTCAATAAATGTTTAAAAAAACAAACATACATTTATCTTCGTAAAATATAAATTATAAAAATAGAAACTTAGAATACAACATATCTGTACATACATTAACATATTTCTTAATTCAGAATAAACAACACATTGATTGAAACACTAACAGATCCCTGGTTATTTTTCAAGAATATTAACATAAAAAACATTTTTACAATTATAGAACATTGTGAAGCTTTGTTTTGATCTTGTCTTTAGACATAAACTTGATAACCCCACAGAGGTATTGCACAAAAGCAAAATGTGAAGCTGGGATTTTTAAACTATCCTGGCTTGACTCGGTCGCATTAAAGCAGGCTAAATTAAGTTACTACAGAGCTAGCCTGCTCGAGAGCTAGGATTAATTCTAGTGAATAATTTGTTAGTTTCTTGGTCAATGCTACTATATGTATTTTACATATTGGCCATTTACAAATGTTTTCCAACTATTAGAATTCAAAATATGTATATTTAATTTTATTAGCAGAAATTGTAAAAGTTCACATATAGGTTGTTTTATATTAAATATGTATGTAAAGTGTTCAGCATAAACTAGTACACCCCTAACAGATATCTCTTTTACATTTATATTTTCTATAGAAGCTTTACAATAAACTTAAGATCTGTCCAAAAATTAGTACAACAAAGTTAATATGTTAGGGTAAAATATTCATTAAATCTCAATAAACAGGAACAATCGAGAGAAATATCTCTTTTGCAATAACTCATTCTAATTAATTTTTTAATTCTTCCATTCCTAAAGATGTTTGGTGACTAAACTCTTATTTTAATAAATATAACTGTATAATAAAACTCTTTTGTTTAAATACACCAAAATTTATTGTCTATATTCACTGAAAAATGGATAAAAATATTCATTTTTAAAAGAAGTGTACTCATTTATGCTAAGCTCTGTATAAACATACATACATGTATATACATATATTGTTAGGAAGAAAAAAAACTAAATAAAAGCAATATATAAATTATCATATAGATTCAATAAGCTAGATAAAATAAAACAAACAGATTAAACATATTGGGTGAATGTTTGGCATAATCTTCCCAAACAAAAGTAGCGTAGCATGAATGTCCACTGGTCACATTTAAGGCAAAATGTATTCTTTTTTTAAAATGCCTCCTTATTTGTTTCCATTAAATCTCTGCATGAAAGAATTGGAGTTCCCAGATCAGCCGAAGTTACTAGATTGGTAAGCAAGACTGGCATTTTATGACTCAGCTGATTGGCTCACATCATGTTTTATTCATATTCGCATAATTGTCTCTCATGGTATGCTAAAGAAAGTCACAAATGTGCACTTATCCTTTAGGGTGTCAGCGGGGTCTTAAAAAGTATCAAAAGTTGATAAATCAATTATGAGAAAATTAAGGTTTTAAATGACATTAAAATGTCTTAATCATGTTTTTATGAGGTCTTAAATTTTTGACTAGTTTTGAAAGTTTGATATAAAGAGATATGTGTGTGTGTGTGTGTGTGTGTGTGTGTGTGTGTGTGTGTGTGTGTGTGTGTGCCTGTGTTTTCCTCATATTACCAACGACATACTCAATATACAATATATATATATATATATATATATATATATATATATATATATATATATGGGAAAATATTAGTTTGTGTACTGGTTGGAAAAAAGACGAGTTTAAACAGTGGCTGAAGCCTGAAGCTGAAAACAACAACATAATTTATTCTTTCAAGCTTTGTTTCTTCCGAGCTTATTTGAGCTCTGTTGCATGGTTGTGCTCCATTGATTTTTTTTTTTACTTAAACTGTTTATTAACAACTGTTTATTAAGTTAAAGGTTTGAAACTGATTAGAACTTGAAGTGGCGATGAGGTCTTAAAATATTCTGAGAAGGCCTCTAAAAAGTCTTAAAAAGGTATTGAAATTATCTTTAAGGTTCCTGCATATACACTGTCCTGGCTATCTACATTGGCCTTGACATAGCAGCTCATTTTCATGCTGCATCAGCAAACACACAACAGACTAAACCAGAAGGAGCTGATTAAACTAGGTCAAGTCTGTTATCTTTTCTTTCTTGATTCAACTTTTGTGCAATACCCCTCAGAATTTTTGAAGTGAGAATTTTATGGGATTGTATGTACCTTTTTTATTTGTAAAGAATTGCAGAGACCTTAACTTGGCATGGAATAATATTACAAATATAGTTTTTTTTACAACAAAACTAACAAACAAACAACAACAAAATAAATATAAATAATTGGAGAACACATGTCGAAACAAGTTATTAAAATGGAAAATGGCAGGAAATGGCACTTAGGAAGAATCCCTTCCGCCACCCTAGTGAAAAGATGGAATAAAACCATGCTTAAAATGGATTTTTCTTCCATTTAGTTTAATAATCACAGATATTTACAAGCTCCATAAACAGACATTATTATGGCTACATAAACACTCTTTTTCTAGGAGTGCTTTACATTAAGCCGTAGACCTTCATCACTTTATTACAAATCTGTAACTGCTTAATCATGGCTACTTTGTCCCATGCACTACATTTGGGATAAATATACCTTCAAACTAGGCACATTTTCTGTCCATAAAAGAAAAGTTAAATCAACCAAAAATGTACTTCATTCTTGACTTTTGACAACTACCTTGTAGTTTCAACAAGAATGTATAACAAAATAACAAGATAACATTGGTCATCTTGTGGTGTTTTGTCTGTGCAGAGAATTATGAACAAAACATGGTACATCTTAGGATGCCAGTGGTTTGACACCGCAAAACATGTGAGCGAAGAATGATTACCTCGCTCTGGGATTGTTCTGTTTTTTTTTTTTTTTTTAATTTGCAATGTCTAAACAAATTGTCTAAATCTCAGGTTCTCCAATTCTCTCTTGAACAAACAGAAACTAAAAAGGGTAGTCACTCATTTTCTTAACCCAATTGGTCTTGGGCATGATAGGTCAGGACTGAAGTTTGATTTATCTTGGCATACTCTTTAAATATCCAACACTAAGAGGCCCAGACAGTCTGGGGTCACCTTTACGCTCTTTTCCCTGTCAGTAACTAGGCCACAGTATCTACATTAGAAGTACTCGGATCACTTTATCTCTCGGGCGAAAATCAGGCTTCCATCATTCATTCATCACAGAGGAACCGTTTTTGGCAACAAATCACAAAGCAAACACATCAGGCCAGGATCAACAAGATTCTTCTTGATTTTTGAGCTGTTCTAGCCTGTTGTTTCCCCCTTTTATATTTTAATTAAAAGAAGAAAAATATGCTTAAACTACTTGACTACACACAGATGGATGCACCGACTGAAAGGTCACATGTGTGTTAATTGCTTTGAGCACAAACATGTTAAAAGATATTAATGAGTATGCTCCTCATGACCAAACACATACAGAAAAGACAAACAACTCTACACAGCATGTTATGTACACAGGAATAAATGAACTGGGTGGTGATGAAAAGGAGCATGACTGAACCTACATATCTCTATTGGTATCAGTTTCTGTGATTGTCTTCTCCTCCAGCCCTACACCTGTTTCTGAGACTTTAGGAGTCTAGCCTTAAATCATGCGTGTCTCTTCAGATAGAGCTTTCTTCACATTGTGCAAGTGGTGCTCCTTGTAGACAAGGCATCTTAGAAAACGCCTCCTCCATCTCACTAAGCCCCTCCTCCAGTCCTTCCTCCTCTCCATCTGGCCCCGCTCTTTCCCTACCATCCAGCTCATCTGCCAAGTTCACAGCTGATTCCTGCAGTTTTAGCCCACTGGAATTGGTATAAATGTGCCTGCCATTGTGACCACCTGGGTGCATACTGTGTCCGTGGCCATTCAGTGTCCCATTCCTTTTCTCTGTTATTGGAACAGCCTCAGACAGTAGACTAGCACTGCTTGGAGACTGAGGGGTGTCTGTAGAATGAAGAAGGTCCCGTCCCTTTTCCAGTGTGGATGATGAGTTTCCACCTACTGTCATGCCACCTTGCCGTTTGTAAATTAGAAACAAAAGGATGCCACCCAGCATGAAACCTATAACAAAAAGAAATATGTGCGAGGCCATAAAATGTCGGCTACCTGCAATGGCTTTGTTACCCTCCACTCTGGGGTTGTCAAGTGTCAGCTGATACACAGCTTTGCGACAGGGTGGCTGGTCTCTGCCCGCTTCATCACATAGGCACACATAGATGCCCAGACTCTTGTTTGTAATCTGCACCTCCAGATCATAATTGTGGTGGCGGGTGTGACTCCCAGGTGGATGATCCCAGTGGCAGGGACGAGGTGACAATTGCACACAGGAAAGGAGAACTCGCAGACCCTCTACAACACGCATTTCAATAACGGGCGGAGAGCAGAGACCTAAAAAATAAAACCCCAAAGACCCCTTCATTATTATAATAAAATACATAAATGAATAAAAATACAATTACAACTATTATTATTAATTATGCACAAATAAGAATATACTTTCTATAATTAGCCTCAAACTACACATCCCAGTTCATGAGATTATTCATGTTTTTGTTCAAAACTCAATTCATGACTTTGATTTAGATTATATATTGGGCAAAAACGTATTATTTGTAGTGCTTAATATTGGAATTGTCTTCTGTGTTGCCCTTTTGTGTCACAGCAGTGATTATGTTGCCCTTCTCTGTTGCCCTTTTGTGTAACAGCAGTGATTGTGTTACCAGGAGCTCCAGTTCAAATCAAATCGAACTTAATAGCTGGGTGACCAAAAAAAGACAATCTTTGTAGTGACATAATATATCATAGCCATGGCAATTAACAATTTCTCTCTCTCTCTCTCTCTCTCTCTCTCTCTCTTTCTCTCTCTCTCTCTCTCTCTCTCTCTCTCTCTCTCTTTGCGTGTGCGCATGTGCCTGAGCGAGTGTGTGGTGAGCGAGTGTTGGGAAAGTGCGATGAGTTTGAATGGTTCTCTTTCTAACTTTTCTTTCTTTGTTTGTTGTTTGTATACGTGTGCTGTTGGTTAGTGTTTGTGAGTGTAGTGAGTTTACTCCCGGCGTGTTTTGTTGCCGGGAGGTATGGCGTCGTCAGGAGACGCAGTTTGTGAAAGTTTGACTCGGCGTCATGGAATTAAAATCATGTGTAAGGCCAGTGTGGAGGATTGTATTCTAGCGGTTGGCGAAGTAGTGGGATGTTCATCGGTGGTTTCAGCTTCTAGGATGAACAATGCGGTTGTTTTGTTTTTGAACACGATAGAAAAAACTAATGAGATTGTGCAAAAAGGAGTGGTGATAAATGATGAACTCATACCTGTACTTCCTCTTAGTAGTCCATCCAGGAAAATTATTGTGTCAAACATACCTCCGTTTGTTTCCGATGCATGCATTGCAAAAGAATTATCTTCTTTTGGCAAATTAGTTTCACCGATCAGGAAAATAGCTCTTGGGTGTAAATCACCCATGCTTAAACATGTGATGTCTTTTAGAAGACAAGTTTATATGATTCTGAAAGACAACAATGACGAATTAAACCTATCGTTTAATGTTAAAGTAGATGGGTTCAATTACACCATTTACGCAACATCCGAGAGCATAATGAAGTGCTTCAGGTGCGGAAAAATTGGGCATTTAATTCGATCGTGTACAAGTGGAGGTGAGACAGGTCAGGGAGACGTACAAGGCGAGTCTTCTGCGGCTGCGTCTGTCGCGTTAGATGCCGCTGCACCTGCGGCTGATGCTGCGGTCTCTGAGGAGAGAGGCGGGGGAGGTGCAGTGGCTCCTACTATGGCAGAGGTAGTAGCAGGCTCGTCTGCTGTTCAAACCTCAATTAATTCTAAGGATGACACAAGTAGCCAAAAGGCAACTTTTTCCACAGCTGGAACAGCTAAGGAAAGTACAGGTGAAGGGATAGTGGAAATGAAAATTGAACCGGAGCAAATCTTTAAAGTTCCCCATAAAAGAAAAAAAGTCAGTGAAAACAAAATGATCAAACAAGCAAAAAAAGACAAGATTAAGGCTGATTATATGATATCAGATAATGATGCTGATTCTTCTGATTCCAGTTCTTCAGTTTATTCCTTTTCATCGCAAAATGAAAGTGAAAGTCAAACACAAAGATATACGGCTGAGGGAATCAAGACATTTCTGAGGGAAACAAAATTTTTACCAAACGTGGAGGCTGAGGATTATTTTGAAGATGTTTCTGCTTTCGTGAAAGATGTAAAGATTCTGACTAGAGAAGTTGCATTCATAGACACAGAGGTTTATTGTCTAAGGAAATTAGTGGTTAAAGTAAAGAAAAAAAACCTCCTTAATGATGAAAAACCAGATTTGGTGTAAATTGTTCTTGGTTAAGGTTGCAGTATTTCTAATTGTTTCTTTTATTTTTAAAACATCATTTACTATGAGAGTGTTTAACATTGGAACTCTCAATTTAAATGGTGCTAGAGACAGTCAGAAAAGAATGTGTTTATTTGAATTCATAAAAATGAAACGCCTAGATGTCACGTTTATTCAAGAATCACATAGTGACAATCTTAATGAAATAAACTGGACGAAAGATTGGGATGGTCAGATTTTTATGAGCCATTTGGCTTACAACAGTGGAGGAGTAGCTGTTTTGTTTTCTAAGACAGTGTCTCCACTGTCTGTTGAAACAGAAGAAATAGTTAAAGGCCGTTTTTTGAAAGTCAAAGTCAAGTTTGAACATGCAACAATGGTGTTTTTAAATATTTATGCTCCTAATAAAGGAGCTGAAAGAATAATTTTTTTTAAAGAAGTTTTGTAATGTTATCAATAATGTAGATTCAGAGGATTTATTGTTTTTAGGTGGAGATTTTAATTGCACAGAAAATGATAAAATGGATAGAAATCATTTAGAACCACATAATGCTTCACAGAAAGAAATGAAGAATTTAGTACAAGTTTGTGATTTATGTGATGTGTGGAGAAATGTACATTTAAATGATAGACAATATACTTGGGTACATAGCAAAGATAACCAAATTTCTATGGCAAGACTTGACAGGTTCTATATGTTTAAGTTTCAAATAAATGATGTCAAAGATTGTCGTATAATTCCTGTTGGGTTTTCTGACCACTGTTCGGTTATTTGTAAGATTTTTGTCAATTCTGTGAAAGTAAAAAGTGCATACTGGCACTTTAATACATCACTTTTAAATGATGAAAATTTTAAAGAATTTTTTTCTGTTTTTTGGGAAAATTTTAAAAAACAAAAACAAATGTATTCACTGCAACAATGGTGGGATTGCGGGAAAATACAAATTAAACAGTTATGTAAAGAGTACACTTTTAATGTTACTAAAGAAACAATGCGAGCAATGAAAGAGTTAGAAAAAAATTTAACAGAACTTTTAAATACAACAGCTTCTACAAATAATAGCACTGATTTTGAAGAAAGTAAAACTAAAAAAGATTTACTTGCAGATTTATTGAATGTAAAAGCAAAGGGTGCTTTAATTTGTTCTCGGTTTCAAAATATTTCAGAAATGGATGCACCTTCAAAATTTTTCTTCAATTTGGAAAAAATGAATGGAAAAAGCCGATTAATACATTCACTAAAGTTTGAAACAGGAGAAGATATTACAGATTCTAGTAAGATTCACAAATATGCAGTTAATTTTCATTCATCTTTATATAAATGTGAAGTATTACAGAGGGATGTTGAAAACTCAGTTTTTTTGAAAATCTCTCTAAAGTTGATGATGAATCCAATGCAATGCTTGAGCTGCCTATATCACAAGATGAATTATATACAGTAATGATGAGCATGGAAAATGGCAAATTGCCTGGCATTGATGGAATTCCTGTTGATTTTTATAAAGTTTTATGGCCAGTGATTGGTGAAGATTTGTTTTTAGTTTTAAATGACAGTTTAAATAAAGGATCATTGCCTTTGAGTTGTAGAAGAGCAGTTATTACTCTTTTACCCAAAAAAGGAGATCTTCAAAAATTAGGTAACTGGAGACTTTTGTGTTCAGATTATAAAATTATATTAAAGGCTTTAGCTGTAAGACTAAGTAAAGTACTGGACCAAATTATACAGCCTAATCAAAATTACTCTATACCAAATAGATCAATTTTTGATAATATTTTTTTAATTAGGGATGCGTTAGAAGTTGCTAAATTATTTGGTATTAATTGTGGATTGATCTCATTAGATCAAGAGAAAGCTTTTGATCATGTTGAACATGAGTATTTGAAAAAAGTTTTAAAGGTTTTTGGTTTTAGTACTCATTTTATAAAAATGATTGAGGTAATGTATAGTAACATTCAAAGTGTACTCAAAATCAATGGTGGTTTAAGCGCTCCTTTTGATGTACAGAGAGGTGTTAGACAGGGTTGTGCTATGTCAGGAATGTTATATTCCATTGCCATTGAACCTCTTCTACACAGAATAAGAGCGGAATTAAAAGGTTTTTCTATACCCCACTGTAATGCTCAAGTGCAACTTTCAGCATATGCAGATGTTATTGTTTTATAACTAACACTGATGATGTAAGAAGACTGGAATGTATTATTAACAATTTTAAAAAGATTTCTTCTGACAAAGTTAATTGGGAAAAAAGTGAAGCACTTCTCATAGGTGACTGGAAAAGAGACCCTCCCTTATTACCTGGAGGATTAAAATGGAAGAGGGGTTTTTTAAAATACCTTGGAGTTTACCTAGGTGAAAGTGACTTTGTTCAACAAAACTGGAACGGATTGACTGAAAAAATTCAAAGTCGTTTACAGAAGTGGAAATGGTTGCTTCCACAACTTTCTTACAGAGGACGAACACTCATTATTAACAATTTGGTGAGTTCCTCTATGTGGCATAAACTTGCTTGTGTTGATCCACCTGCTGGACTCTTACCAAAAATTTAAGGAGAACTGGTCAACTTCTTTTGGGACAATTTGCACTGGACACCTCAAAGTGTTCTGTTTCTACCAAGAGATGAAGGTGGCCAAGGGTTGGTGAATCTTGTGAGCAGGGGAGCCACATATAGACTACAATTCGTTCAGAAGTTGTTGTATGGGCCTGAAAATCTCGTGTGGAGGCCTTTAGCTCAATGCATCCTACGTGGAATAAATGGCTTGAATCTTCATGCGTCACTTTTTTTGACAGATAATGTGCATCTAGATCTGACTGGAATACCTTCTTTCTACAAAAGTATTTTTAAAGTATGGGGACTTTTTAAACATTCGCGGGCAGATTCAACAACATCTCTTTTCTGGCTGCTTGAAGAACCAGTACTTCTTGGCAGTCGCCTTGATGTAACAAAAGATGATACCCCAGGACTAAAAGAATTGCTTATTTCCAACAAAATGACCAAACTAAGAGACATTGTTGACAAGGCGGGTTTTGGACTAAGAGATGCAGAAAATGTTGCT